TATATTTACAATTCAAGTTATTCAAATTTCAATATTCTTTATTTTCCGATAACTGAACAACTGAATTGTAATCCATATTATGTTGGTAAATTACAAAACTCGAAACTAAAAAAAAAAAATATCTTTGGTCATTAAAATGTCATTGGAATTATTTTTAATACTGTCTTTAAATAACATTAACCACACGATATTAAATCCTACATTTTAAATAATTTGAAATGCATAATAAAATACATTAATTTATTTACGTCCACAACAACATATTAAACAAAGGAACGATCATTTTAAAGGTTTGTATAGCTTTCGTTCTTCTGCAAATCTTGTCTCAGTTAGTGCTTTTTTATTTGCAACACGACAAAATAAATAAAAGATTCGATATGTTTATTATTATATTTGTATTTCGTTTTACGTTTAACGAAAACTGCGTACCTTTTTAAGAAAATTGGCCCAGCGCCAAAGAAGTGCAGAAAGCTATTTTACAATAAAAAAAATCTTTGCTTATGAATTACCATCGAATTACAACCAATGGGTGACCATTTTAACTAATTGCCTTCTTACGCAAAAAAATGAATATGTTTTAGGTAGTGAAAACTCACAGTTAGTAATCGCGTTCAATCAAACTAATTATATTAATATACATATATTAATTATCATCTCACTTTATAAACTGTTGGATAAACTGTCACTGTTTAGCAATAAATTATTATGATCTTGAGATTTCTCATTATTTATCAAATGAAGTCGATTTATTCCACTTCGAGTCGGAGCTAATTTACTGTATAATTTTATAATCGACGATATACTATTATAATGCTCGAGGAAGTCTTTGGAACATTCTAATACAACTTGTGTAATATATGCGTCGTTGTATGTATATTATGTCATCTGATGACAGATGCATGTATACGAGCTACAAGTTCATTCTTATGTCTGTACAACAATCTTAAAAGCGAACCGGAAACAAAGTGATGAGTAACACCTAAAGGAAACTAAGACACGAAAACGACAGGAGTATGTAGGGATTTTTCTCTAAAACTTGATTAGATTTAAACGTTCCCAAGAAATTCCTAGTCATTTTCATTAAATTACAGAAGATTTTTGCTATGGTTCCGTTTCATCTTCGTGTTGGTGTGCCACCGGTATTAACGACCCACGGGAGAATAGCATATGGATTAAATCCAAAATGAACAATTCGGATAAGCAAAATACGTATATTAACGTATTTATATACAACAAAGATCGTGCTAGCTCAACTTTGCGGGTTATGTCCTTTTGTATGTACCGTTTGATTTAGACTCGGAGACTTTCCTATCCCCTTCACAACCATTGTCTAACGATAACTTGGTAATTTGTTTTCTATCCAGTCGACTATAATTTTAACGGCAGCAAAGAAAAAAAAAATAGTTTGACGGCCGTTATCTCACGGGAGTTTGACTTTCTTAAGCTATAACCTCAATGATACCCACCTTGAATCAATTTTTTCAAAAGACAATAACAAAACAATAAAATTAGAAACAGGAAAAACTATTATTTAAATAGTAAATTTTACATCGGTACATATTAACATCATAATATAGATAAGACGCAAATGTGTTAAATTATGTTCCCATTAATGTTGTCCAAAAGTCCGTATTGATTATTAAATACAGCACCTAAATGATGCTAGAACTCAAGGAATTGGAGTGTCTGTTTGTAATATTAAAATTACCGTTTTTTACTACATGAATTTACGTTACATACACCAAAATAACATTTTTTACAATTAGTATCTGTCTGTTCCGGCCGGTAGAGATTACTCTGAAATGGCTGCACCGATTTTGACGGGACTTTATTAGCAGCTAGCTGTTGTTATTAAGGAACAACTTAGGCTAAATTTATTTAAGAAAAAAAATTTTTGGAATAATAAAGTAACGTTGCAATGTCGTAGTACTATTCAAAACCGCGCGCATCTCAAAGTTAGTGTTTCACGCGGACGAAGTCGCGGACACACCTAGTGCTTAATAAATCTCTAATGAATGAAGGCTAATATTATCTGCTAAAATATTTCGTTTCAATGTAACATGTAGCTGAAAATTCATAATCTCTGCCTACCATCTAGGTCACGGGCGTCATTGTGTCGCTGAAACAGCTCTGCTTTGAAGTGTGAGATGTCATTCGATTTATATTTCTCGTTGTGTTACACACAGTTGGATATGTATTGGTTCCCCAAATAAATTATTCATTCAAACATCTAAAACTTGTATAAATACAACTTTGTCTTTGCAATAACTTTTTAGAGCACGGTGCTAATTATTTACATTTAAATACAATATAATAGTTGCGTTTAGCTAGATGACCTTGAATATATAGTACGAATAAGTCACTTGTATGGAGTTAACCACAACAATAGGTTTCTTTGCATTTGTTAAACAAATAAAAGCGCGGGATGTATTTATGGACGTTTTTTGTGGCTTCGAACGTGACTAAAGTGCAATAAGTTTGTTATGAGACACTACTGTTAATAAACAGTCTTTGTAACTAAATGATTATCAGTTCAAGGGTAGTATCACTGTGAAGGGGGGAACCAGTTGTAAATAATTTATTCGGATGGAGGTCGGCCTGTAACAATTTCCATATTTTGCCACATCTACGGTACTTCGAGCATGTAAATATCTGTCGATTTAGTTAGATGCCAGCTACACAATTTCAGTTTTAACTGTTCAGTAAAACTGTACAGTTGAAACTTAAAGTATGTTCCGTCATATATATAGCTCGTAATTCAGTGTAAGATGTATATATTTTATTATAATTTTACGAGATAATTACGACTTGTTTACTCTAGACAATAGCGTGTGTTGCGGTCTGTGTGTCAGTATGAATTAAATCGTCGTATGAATTAATGTTTGTGATCGCGCGGGTGAAGTGGCTTTATTTATTTTATTACAATAAACGTCGGAATGTCGAGCTGTGCTTGTATCTGGTGACGTTTTATTAATAACAAACAATTGTAAAAATTGAGGAATATTTTAAATATATAATTTCTATTTAGGCATAATTCTGATCTTCGATAAACTTTAATTCGTAGCAAAGACATCAGTATATGTAATTAAAACAGTATGATTTTTATTTATTAAAAACTATCATATTACAATTTATTAGTGTAAGGAAATTGTTGCTAAATAGTTTATATAATATTCATAGTTAGAATATTTGAGATGAATCACTGTGACTAAATGAACGATAACATTGAAAATTATACACTTAATTAAAACGCGGTTACGAGGCGTCTCATTTCGTTATGTAAATAAATAACGTTAAACTGCATTCTATATAAATTATTCAATTTAAAAGTTAAAATAAATTTAGTTGCTTGGAAAATTTCCATAAACGAGTTAATATTAATCTTATAATGTAACATTTCATATTGTAATCTTAGAAAAAGTTATTTCAAATCGATAACATATCAATATCTCACGATGACAGAACTAATCCGATTAAATATTTAGAAATCTGCTTATGATTTATTATTAGTGTTATCTTGAATGATGTTAAATACATTTCATGAGATTGATAACAGACTTTATAGTAAAAACTGGGTGAAGTACAAAGGTAAATTTCAAAGATAAAATATGTTTTGTATAGATGTTTTTGCAGTGGAAACTCACTAGGAATTCTGTTTCATTCAATGTTTACAGTTTAATACTTTGTTCGTTCTATGACAACCATAGATGACCATTGGAGCTTTAAGTTAATATTAGCAGTTACAAAATAGCGCCATCTCTCGGATAGATTTGCCACAAGAAGTTAGGTTATTCATTGTATGGTGTCCAGACTTTACAATTTGTTCGAACGACGGATAAAAAGCAATTTAATCGCCAAAAGGCAAAAGTAAACCCAATGTACATTCACGCTCGAACGTGCAATTTACAAAACAAGGTAAAATCGGTGTAACTAATCGTTATAAATAGCTGTATTCCGCTGCAAGGCGTCGCTGTATGAATAAACTGTGTACATTTGCTCACAGACGATGCATTTGGAATGCTTTAGGGGCGTTAGCCTCTGCGAGACTGCACAAATGTGCACTGCAGTGTACGTACACTGAATTGCATCGGTGCGGGTCTAGATGTGCTATAGACACCATGTTTTGATAATAGTATGGGATAATTGTTATTATCGATAGAAGATATGAACATGCAAAGTATTACGAAAGTTTCACGAATTATGTTTTATACGACATTATACTAGGTTCTGTGTTACATTGATATTTTTTTTATTTTTCATTACATATTCGTGAGTTAAATGTCTCTCGAAGTGTTGAGTTCATTGTTATACTATAAGACCTCAATTCATCAAGGTATGTTTTATTGCTGCGTTACCTCGCACCAACAACTAACTACGTAGTTTAACATAATCTCTATATATACTGATTGTAAGGAATATACAGATCTACGACAGTAACTGTACTCATTTGCACCTATTTTGTAAAACATTTCAATCTTCTGTAAGAAAACAATTGTAACTATGTTTGTAGGAATCTTAATTACAATTATTGAAACTCGTAAACCGTCGTTGAAGAACACGTGATAGAATATATGGTACTAAATACATTTGCTAGAAGTTGGATATAAGCTCGATCTTCAACAAACATATCTCGTGTCTTTAGTATCAAGAAGCTTTCATCTCTGTTAAAATTTGAATTAACGGAACCGTGTAGGATATGAAAAACTTTAAACTAAAACTAAATGTTTAAGTCAAAATTAACTTTTACGACCATTACATGTGTAATTGCATTTTACTTTGAAATTATTTTTATATCACAATATTGGCTGAAAGTTTTTATTATCTCTAATATTATTTGTTCTCTCAGAAAAAATCTAGCAATCACATTGACAGTAAACATCAGACCGGTCAATATCTAATTTGATGAAATTTCCAGTGTTTGGACAATAAAAGTATTATGATAAGTGTATGAAGATGTCTAAATTTGTGAAAAGTGTAAAGAAATGGAGTGGGGTGTCCAGGCCGAGCAGCCAGGAGCTGAACCGGAGCCAATACTCGCTGGTGTCATGCGGCGAGCTGACTGCTGAAGCCATCCAGCTGTGGCTGGGCTTGCCCAAGAAGATCAAGTACGACCCAGAGTTAGCGCCGTTCAGGCAACGATATGAAAAAGAATTTGGTAAGTTTTATATTCATTTTCAGTTTTGTTAACTTAGTGTTTTAACTGTCGAAACACATGTACAAAAACATATTCCCTCTTTCCTTCTGTTTATAAAAAACAAAGATAACAACTACTTCTAAGAAGACACAGAATATTTCGCTAAAGAAAAGATTTACCTCAATATATTTATAAATGTATTGGTGCTGGAATTTGTCCACTGTATACAAAAACTCCATTAAATTGAAGTCTTTCCTGTTATTCCATTTAAATCACTCATGATTCAAATGTTTTAGTTTCACACAAGTCTACGCATTTACATGATATATTAAAAGAGTCGTAAAGTTGAAATCATTACAAATTTCCAAACCGCAGTGAACCCTCGATTTGTTTATTTTAATCAGCTGATATATTTACGAATAAAGGAGTAATGAGAAATCTTTTATTATGAAAAATAAGTCGAAAATGACATTTACATTTCAATATTTTTCAAATTGTCATACAAATACACAGGTGATAACTAAGAAAAATTACTTTTACACTTGATCAAGATTTTTGCGCGCGAGTGTACATGACATTATTCAGGTCTAGGCCGTTACGTCGTTAATCCGATCAATATAATAATGATAGCTTTTTAATGTTAAAACAAACAGTATCTTATCTACAGAAGTGTCCCTTGCCCTCATAAATACTCTTAATCATTTAATTTTCTCATTATTATTTCCTCATTTCACTACAGCCCGTGTTATATAAAGTGATAGTTGCGTTGGTGGCGTGTTCGCGTATGTATTAGCTATGTTATTGTGGTAATAGAAACTAGCCGTTGTCCGCGACATCGTTCGTGCGGAATTAAAAAAAACATAATAAGTAGCCTTTATGTTCTTCCAGATTATGTCCTACGTGTGTGCCAAATTTCATCAATATCCGTTCAGCCGTTCCGGAGATACCTTCAAACAAACATCCATCCGTCTATCCAAACATTCGCATTTATAATATAAGTAAGATAAAATATCTATACAAGCAATGCTTAGTTTTAAGAATTGTTAAAATATGACGCACTACTTTATAACGGCCGAAGAAGAATACGAATCGTATGTCACCTTACCCGACAAAATCGGTCACATCGTGTAGGCTACAGGAGGTCATGATAAAAACTTCTGTCAGCCGTGCATAAATAATATGAACCCATGGACGCTGTTTACGTTTTTTATCTCGCTTCGCTGACCTTGCATTATGATCATGTTGTTTGTAAACTTAACACGCCACAACAAAACAAAATAAAAAAGCATTCTAATATTAGTAGCGAATATTTTTTCCTAACATCATTCCAAAATAATCTCAAACAGAATCGTAAGTAGGGTGTTCATAAAAACTGAGGAAATCGGGATAAGTATAGATTATTTTATACAATTTTTGTAAAGAGCGAATTCAATTTGTCTTCACTTTGAGCATTACTTTGTTATTAAAAATTAAATGAGATTCGATTAATGTTTATCTATATTTTAGTCTGATGTCATGTCTGATTGTAATTGTCTAGTTTCAAAAGTTTTTTTTTATAAATATAAACTTGGTGTGGAATATTCGAGAAACTTTCGAATGAAAAAGAAACTGAAAATATAAAATCGTCTTCGGATGCAGCCGAGGCGTCGGCCATTGCGACCAGAACCGGATCGAACCGGTTTAAAATAGCATCGCCTCGTCTGCCAGTCCGCCATACCACTTGGAATCGTGTCAAAAATGAAAAATACCAAGTCGCTTATGGATGCTATGTGTGTGTCGGGTGCGTCTCATTTGAGATTTCGTAATGTCCAAGGTCTCCTGGAATCGAGGGCTTCACTTTGTTTACCCTTTCGTTATTTTATTTTTGTACCAAACATTATTGACTTGACAAGACAAGGTTAATAAATTGTAGACAACTTAATTAATTCTTATCAAACAAACCATTCACCAATGAATTAAATAAAAACGATAAACCTAGCCAGTCTGACTGCCTCGAAGTCTTTGCAGGGAGGAATACGAATCGAATGGCAACTCACAATTTTCAATTATCAGATCATTACATCTTCTTGGCATGAGGAAAAATATGCATAGCGTGGTGTGGAATAAAGATCATGCCAATATGGCATAGTTTCGGTAATTCATTTTATTAATATTATAAATGCGAATGTTTGAATTGATGGATGGATGGATGTTTGAAGGTATCTCCGGATCGGCTGAACTGGTCTCTATGAAATTTGGCATACATATAGTATATCTTATGACAATAAAGCCTTTATTAGGCAGGCTACATTTTTGCAATAATGTTACAACCTACAATTACTACGTACAAACTATTTATTATTTATGTCTGTGGTTCAAATAAGATGTAAAACAACTAGTTTTGTTAAGATTTGTTTGTGCAAATCAACCTCAATCACAAATGTTTTACCTTCAGATGACAAGGTCTTGTGGAAAAAATTATATCGAAGTTACTAGAAAATGTGATTCCATATTTGACTTGTGTTTTTCCACAAAAATACAATAGGAAACTCTAAGGCAAATATTATCTTATGTCGACCATTTAAAGACACACGTTGGAACGTAAGGTTTTAGGTTAGGACTTACGAACATAAACAACTCTTTTTACAACAAAATCGGTTAAGACTTTTGGCCTATAGGCGTTGACAATGAAAAGGACAAACAAACCCACACGCATATTTACATACTTTAACACAAAAAGCAAAGCAAACCTTGTCAATAACTTTAAGCATATGTATACTAAAAGTTCTAAATTGAGTTGTAAGAAGAAGTTGCGTTAAAACCTTGAAATATTTGTTTTGTCCTAAGCCCTTTATGGCGGTTATTTGTGCAGCATTTTAGGCCCCAACATATATATTAATTTGGCACAGGTGTATTTGTACAGTTTATTATCACTACGAATGCCAGTTTATTTAACTAGAATTAGTTACGGGTGCGTAAAGTGTGATATTTGATAATACCAAATAACGACTGATGTATTTTTATGAGTAATCGTGATAATGAAAAATCCCTTGTTAGGATTGTTTGTACGAATTTTATGGGAGGAGTATAAACAAGGATGCAAAAATTATATTACACGGTTCGGTATTTCCAAACGATTTTTTTATTTAATCGACTTCAAAAAGGATGTTCTTAATTCACCTGTTTATTTTTTATATTATCTGTAGTACTTTGCCCCTGGTAAACCGATTGTGATGTTATTTTTTTATGTTTCTGATGTAGTCATCCGAGCAATAAGGTATCGAATGTTATCATATAATTCTAAAGTAGTTTTCCCACGGAGATTTTCTATGTCGACTCTAACAGCTTTCTATTGGTTTCTTTTAAAGTTATAGTATTATTTAAACGAGTTAAAACTGACCATCTTTAATATGATATCATATCGGATAAAAGTTATTTAAAACAGATTTACGTATGTTTTTTTTTTAATATATTATTCCATTTACATGTAATTTAGTTTTTTATAATTGGTCAATTAGTTAATAATGATGTATTGACTAATGACATTATAATAATAGCTATTTAAAACATCCTGCCAAAAAAAAATGTTTTGTTTGTATGCCTTTAATGCATTTATAATATGATGTGGTGAGCGTTGTTAATATTATGAAGAGAATAGATTTGTTTTTTTGTCCTGGATAAACTAGATTATTAAAGTTCATTGAGTCTTTGAAAGGTAAAGATTACTAATAATTAATTTATGCTATGGTTTTGATTAACTAAGGGAATGATAGTGTATTTAATAAAGCAAATATCTATACACGTGTTTCGTTGTATCTCAAAGCCAGATGTCTAGATGTAATTACGATGTAATCAGGAATAATATTGACGCGATAAATTATACCTATATAACTTACATATATTATGATCCTAACGTATATTTGAAGTCAACTAAAAAGTCTTTAGTATGCTACACTATACAATTGAACCTGAATAAGCAAGGGTCCAAGGGACCGCGAAATTTTTCTCGCTTATAGATTTCTCTTTAACCCTAGTGTCTCGCGTATGTAGGTCATCTGCCAGGGCCGGACAATGACTCTCGCATATCCAGCTTCTACGTTCAAATCGATCTATCCAAAGAAAAAAATCTTTATAACATTGTGTTATATTCACGTTGTTAGTGACACGAGTCTATGGTATAAAAAAAATTGTGATCAAGGAAATTTTACTATGTATGTAAATTGTATCTGTTAAGTTTGTGTGATTTAGATTGTAAGTTTTAGTATCTCGTGACTCTGTTATATTGCTTTTGATATTAATTACTATTGGAAAATAAATGGAACGACATTTTATTTTAATGGAGACATTTTTTAATGAAAAATGAAAATTAAGTTATGTGGGTTTCACTTTCGATAAAACGAAAAGAATATAAGAAATCGAAGTTATTTTATGATTTACATGAGATGTTTAATATATTTCCCTAGTTTTGTGATGTTTTCGCTTTAAATATTAAAGTCATAAACGCAATCGACATTAAATCGATTCTCCGAAGACTCCAATTCAGTTTCAACAAGTTTTTCGAATGTCCAGTTTCTTATTAATTGGTTTAGCAGATTATTTGAAATAATTTACTATTATTTGTTGGGACCATTACAAATAACCATAAAGCTTGTGCTAAGTGGTTTACGTTAATTACCCTGGCATTTCGTAACTGATATAATTCAAATCACGATGAATTTAGGAACAGAGTTAAGCTATTAGTTTTTAGCACAAAATTTGTGGATGACAGCTAGTTTGGTAATATGTAACTTCTTCTTTCCACAGGTAACCTCGAGAACATTCCTCTCTCTTCGAACCAGTCATCAAATGGCTCCGCGCCGGAGACAAAGCGTCTGCCTCTCGTCAAGTCTGCGCCGCATCTCAACAACAACAATATCAAAACTGTATCTGCCAATGACGACGGTGTTAATATTAAAGACCCAGAAAAAGCAAATAATTTCAGCAAAAATGGCGAAAAGTGAGTAACAGCCTGTTCTAATTTAATTTATTATATATTTTAAGGAATGATGGAAGCGATATTAATTGATGTGTAAAATCACTTACTTAGTTCTATTATCTACTGGCTCAGGAGAACTAAATTCTAAATAATCTTTTTTCCTGTTTTTAGGGAGGAGAAGGGACAAACGCATAAACATTCAACAAAGGTAAGTTCGACATTTTAATTCAGTGTAGAACTAGACTGAATAGAGCTACATAATAATTGCTCTTTGATTATATCCTTTGTATATCATGTAATCGATTTAAACGAGTTTTTCCCTAATATTTATAGTGTTGTAAATACAGTTTTCAGTGTTTAAACTTGATATCAAACCGATTTTGAATAATCGCTTTGTATAGACATAACATAAACATAGGTTTATTCCGTAATTACAAATAAAAACTAGTTATTATCTACCTAAAGTTTGAAAATAGAGGATTTTTTAGTTTGTATCAATCACAATATCAACCTTAATTTGACTTAACTCTGTCGAAAATCTCAAAAAATTGACCATGCAATAGGGTCATTAGCCAAAGGGTCACGCTACCAGCGTCAAGGTTACTTAAACACATAGTTACAATCACAAATGTGTTGTTGATTATGACACCTAATCGGCTCAAGGTACACGACCATTAGCCGGCGCCGGACGCACCGCACGCACGGTCCGCAGCGGGTTTTAGTTTGCCTTGTATAATTTTTCATAGCGCTGTGTCCATCATCCGTGCTGCGGGTGCGTCCACCGCTGGCCAATGTACGGGTACCTTTAGAATCAAATCAGAATGCAGGAGTGACAAAAATTACAATACTCAGGCAATTCCACTTCTGCGACAGTCAACTAGTAAGCCGAAATATCACATAAATATATTGTTGTACGTCAAAATGCCCCTTCCCCTTTCAGATGGCCAAAGCGAGGCATTACGTAAAGATGATGCTGCTAATCGCCTCCTGGATCTTCTTCACAATTGTCTTCATGCTTTACAATGAAAAAGAGGAAATCAAGAGAAACACATTCGTGGGACCTGGCGAAATTAAAGGTGCGATCATTCTTAAAATCGTTATACACACTACACATTTAGAGCCTAGAAATGCTTATCCAAATATGGACTGTTTAAAAAAACTCTAGTTGTCAGTTTAATTTTCGTTTATAGTGAAGTTTGTTTGCACAACTTTATGATTTTATGTTGAATGTTACACGTGCTGTGGACAATTTGCAGTCAGCTAGATCGCTAAATACTAAACAAAACCGGTATAGCTACATATAATAGCTGCTACTATACTGTGAATAATGTATGAATGGGTCTTTCATTCTTCACGAACACCGTTAATGCATCAAGTTAACAAGTATTGACTTGTTATTTTTTATTCACTTTAAGAATGGAATCTTTTACTTTATATTTTTATAGGATGTATTATGTTGTATTGTGTTGTAACAAGATATTTATGTCTGCATACGACGCTATAGTTTGACTCGATGCACTTTTATATGTACTAGGATATTTGTAGCTTTTGCTTCTTAAATAAGCGATATCTTTAACAAACAAAAAGTTTTAGACATTCTTAGACTGGGGTCACGAAATTAGCGACGAGCGGGACGTCGCGACGGCGGAGCGGGGCGATGTAAACAAAAGTATTACTCCGCTCCCGTTCGTTTCGCGTACTTCGCTGTAAGACAAGCCGTAACATTTTTGCCTTAAAATAAACTAAACCTAACCTAGTTGTTTTTTTTTTCGAAAGTAATTAATTATACAATTTGAGTCTTCTTTACTTGTTTTAGATTACCTATTTAACGCATCTGAGATTGACAATTTGTCGGTGCTAGTGAAATTATCTGGTCCCTTTCTACCGGAGCATATGGAAAAACATCTGAACTCTACGGAACTGGAGGCCGCTCAGAAGATGACCGTGTGGCTCGAAAGATGGTCTGCAAGTGATGGACCTCCCGTGATATCCAAGAATAAAGAAGTAACGGTAAGACTATGATTGTTAAACGTGACATATTTTTATTGTTACTTTAGGTTATATTCCTATACTTGATTTGGCGATAATATCAAGCAGAACGCAGAAGACATATAAAGAGACCTAATATCTATGTGTATATGTATCAATTGATTGCAGGCTTCCGAGAAATGGTCTGTGTTACTGCAAGAAGACAGATTCCTCGATTTCAGTCAGGGGGAGCGACGTACATCCACAATTATATTAGGGAAGAATGCTTCAAGTGCCAACTCCTCGTCTGTTCACATGATCCGAATGCAGACCACGTCCAAACAAACTATACCTCTGACTGTGAGCTACACTGTGAATCCGATAGATGTCGCCAGCGGGGTTACCTACGCCTGTCTCCTGCTCTGCGGTTTGTACGTGCTGATCATATTTGAGGTGAGTTGTAAGATATACATTTTCGTAATAATAAAATTGTCAAAAGGTTCACTCACCCGAGAACCGGTGCTCGATAACTTTTATTATTCGTTATGACATACAAAACATTAGTTACATAAAAATGTAGGATGTTCTTGCTTTAAATAATTTTGAGGTTTATTTCTATTAGAATAAAATTGTTATTTAGCCGTTAATATATTTTGTATGAGTACAATGATTCTGTCATACGTCGGTTATCACGAGTTTTCTATATTTATGTTTTGTTTCCGTTATGATAGTGTCAGCAGAAATGTATACACATTTGTTTATTTATGCTCAACGTCGTTTGATCGCCAAAAGGGCATGGCAGTTGGGCTCCGTGGTTAATTTCTTGGGTTCATTGTCTACGACTTAAAAAGTAAAAGACTTTCGTTTCGAATAATGATAAAAACAGATGATAAAAATGAACTCAAATAATCAAAAAGCAAAGAAAAATATTATTGAACGATTAAGGAAAGAAATATGTTTTATCCTTACTGATTGTAAATATAAATTATTCAGTCCCGTTGTGGTTTTTAATGATTATTTTCATAAGTACGTGTAAAATTATACAATGACCTTTGCACTCGAAACTTTAGTTACACTGAGACTCCACATGTGTATTTGTTCTGCATATCGTGACCTACTTACAATGCGATAAACTACAAAAATGTAATCAAACTCTTCATAATATTGTTTACCAACATCATACATTGTTGTTGGTTTTTGTTACTTTTATCACTCAATCGAATGTATGCAGTTTGTTTGATTTAATACGAATTATTTAACCTTCGAATATGTAAATCAAACTTTGTTATTTAACTAGTGAATAAATAAAGAAATCGTAACATTTAAGTTATTCAATGAATATAACTATACCTATTTACGAAGGTTTATTCCTTGTCCAGATAATAAACCGTACGATGGCGGCCATCATCGTCTCATCAAGCGCTCTGGCGGTACTCGCACTGGTGGGAGAACGACCTTCCGTACCTGAGCTGGTCTCTTGGCTGGATGTGGAGACTCTGCTGCTACTCTTCAGCATGATGCTGCTGGTCGCCATCACTGCTGAGACAGGCATTTTTGATTTCCTCGCTGTCTTCACGTTTGAGGTAACATGAAAAGTTATTGTTGTAATCTGGAAGTTAATTAAGGTTTTTGTAACAAAATATAATCAGTTGATATAACTATCATTTCTTCAGTTTATGAACATTCACAATATGCAGAAATTTTACAAGAATTTAATTGATAAATTATATTTAAAGATTTCGTTTGTATGTATGTATGTATGCAGGTGACAAGAGGCAAGTTGTGGCCGCTGATATCGTTGCTGTGCGCCATCACCGGCTTGCTCTCCACTTTTCTAGACAACGTCACCACCGTCCTCCTCATGACACCGGTCACCATCAGGTAAGCTGACAAGCTCGCAGTATAACGTAATGGTGGCGACCTAGTACCACACAACAACATTAACAATTGCCACTATATCTGTACGAAACGGACACTATACATTTTTAAAACTAAATTTTATAATAATTATTTCAGATTATGTGAAGTAATGAACTTAGACCCGATCCCCATCTTGATGTCTATGGTGCTGTTCAGCAACATCGGGGGCACGGCCACACCCGTCGGGGACCCCCCCAACGTTATCATTGCCTCTAACAAAGCTGTTGTACAATCTGTAAGTTACAATATTGATTTACATGTTATAAGAACAGTGTATTGTTGCATTATTTTGAAGTAAATCTATGTTTCGCTATTTAGTTATTCTGTGCAAAAGAAGACAATTTTTGTCAAAAAAAATCCTGTTGCTGTATTAGTACTTCGTAATCTTTCGACATGTCCCTGTTTATTATTTTGTGTTGCTTATTTATTTTATTATGAGGTAAAATTCCATCGTAATTTGACTGTATCTATGTATGTAACTTGTAACTTTTCTGATGTGTCCAGGGTATAAACTTCACCAACTTCACGCTGCACATGACGCTGGGTATTGTGCTGGTCTGTGTGCAGACTTACTTCCAGCTGCGCTACATCTACAGAGACACCAGCAAACTCAGGCTCAACGTGCCCAGAGATATACAAGGTAAATTATTTTCCTCATTTTATTTCCGAGAATTTACCTTCATCTTAAAATGAGGTTAAGGTTTGTTGACTCAGATTTCATTTACTTTACAATCGCTTGATTTTGTCATTAATAAGTAAACTGCAACATTCAGTGGTTGAATGGTCACTAATGGGGTCTCTCAGTATAGATTTTACAATTTATTACAGATCTTCGTCACCAAATATCAATCTGGCGCCGTGCGATCGAGTCCCTGCCACACTTGAGCCAGGACCAGCAGGTGGTGCGGGAGAGGCTGGAGCGGAAGGTTGCCAAGCTCAACCTTAAGCTGACCGCGCTGGAGAAGGAGAGCATCAAGAGGGTATTCCCCAAGGAGACCTTCCAGAGTACGCTGGTCGAGTTGAAGGAGAAAGTAAGTTGTGTGCAAAAAAATCGAACAAAAACTACAAAATTTTTGAGTAAAGCAGCGACCAGCGATTGGATTATCAAATTTTTAGTTTCTTTCCTTGTTAACCTTGTTATTCATTTTATATCGCCACTGTAATTAAATGCATTTGTTTAAGTAACTACGTTATATGATTCTAGTACAAGATCCGGGACAAGGCGCTTCTTATCAAAGCCTCGATTGCGATCAGTTTCGTCGTCATCGTTTTCTTCCTCCACTCAATTCCTGAGCTCAGTAAGTCATCATAGAATACTTATTTAAGATTTGAATGATAAGAATGTGTTAAATCACTCTAGAGGAAAAGCGGTCGTAGCAATTGATGAATTCGCAAATGATGTAAACCTTGTTTCCAGACCGCGTGTCCCTGGGCTGGACGGCGCTGCTCGGCGCCATCTTGCTGCTGACGTTGGCAGACCGCGAGGACTTGGAGCCGATACTACATCGGGTGGAGTGGTCTACGCTGCTGTTCTTCGCTTCGTTGTTCGTATTGATGGAGGTGAATAGGCTTTTTTTACATCTGTGGTTCAGAAGATTTCGCTACCGATTTTGAACTTTTTTGTTCGTTTTTTTACATATTTCGTTGTTTTATTGATTATATATTTTTCTCGCAGGCGTTATCGAAGTTAGGTCTCATAGAATTTATCGGTGGTCTAACGGAATCAATTATCCTCAAAGTGGACGAGAGTGCCAGGCTGGCTGTAGCGCTTTTGATGATGTTATGGGTAAGGTCAACTGTTTTACTGAAAGTTGATTGCCAATAATGTCTGAATATGACTTTTTCAAATTCAATAAAATATTTTTTCAATTTAGGTGTCGGGGGTCACATCAGCGTTTGTAGACAACATCCCACTGACTACAATGATGGTGCGTGTTGTCACCACACTGGGTTCCAACCCGCAATTGGGGCTGCCCATGGCACCTTTGATTTGGGCTCTTTCATTCGGAGCCTGCTTGGGAGGTGAGCAAGAACAAGGTTTTGACAAATGTTCCATGTCCGACATCGATCAGATCTTAGGTCTGGGATAAAGCTGGCAAGATGTCTGTCAGTGAAAGCCATGTTGTGTCCGCAGGTAACGGCACTCTGATCGGCGCGAGCGCGAACGTGGTGTGCGCCGGCGTGGCGGAGCAGCACGGCTACCGCTTCTCCTTCCTGCAATTCTTCCGCGTCGGCTTCCCCGTCATGATCGGTCACCTCCTCGTCGCCTCCGTCTACCTCCTCCTCTGCCACTGCGTCTTTTCATGGCACTGAGAGTTACATAATAAATTAAGATGAAGTATCCTGGGTGAGATTTGGATTTTCTAAAATGTAAAAAAAGTGTGTGAAAAATGATAGTTTTCGATACATAAATTTGTGTATACCTAATACCTAATAATTTCGCAAGTTCTCGTTACTTATTAATGCTATCGAGCCCTCCGAGTACGAGTACTATATGACTATGAGTACTTACGGAAAATTATTTCGAAGCTCTAATTTATTTTCAAGTGGATACTCTTCTATACGTCAGTTTCCATTACCGAAACATCCATTTACAAATGTATCCTCATCTCAATGTCTTCAGAGAGAATGAATGAGACGGCAATATGTATTTATTTATACGAATGTTTCGTGAGTGGGAACCGACCGAATGCTGTAATAAATAATGGCTTTAATAACTGTCAGTTACACTTTTAAACTGTTTTATGGCAACGTCTGAAGAACGACTATGATTAGTTATAAAATTAATAATGTTAATATTTATTTTCAATATGGTTATTTTTCGTGTTAAAGCGTATATGGTTAAATTATTTTAGTTTATAATAGGTACTATTCGTTAAAATACAAAAGTACAAAATAAGTAATGTGTTAAAAACTGTGATAATTTTGTTATTTTGGTACTTAACATATGCACCGCACATTCTCAACTTTGGCAACGAATCCACATTTTTGAAAAATGTTACATCTAATCACTATATATAGCAATTTTGAATTTTGTTGCCGCATTTGACGCAAATTAATTAAACGTCAAGCAAATAAGGACTTGCCATGTATCTGAAATACTCTACCTTTTTGGTAGCTTTTTTATTTATTGGTAGTTTGCACAAAGAAGATACAAATATGTTGTTTTGTAATAAACTTTAACCAATTTATTTATAACTTTGGATTTCGTTATAGTCTTCAACGCGCATGTCGTAAAATATTTACTCAAAGAAACTTAGCAAATGTGCCGATTATGTCAATGAAAATGTATACTTCGTAGTCACTTTATTAAAAAATGTATTGTATTATTTTTGTTATGTAAAATTTAGGCAATTGCCGTTTCTATGTTTTAGATTTATAAATTTTATGAGATCGCAGTAACAGTATTTTTAGTAATTTTAAAAATGTTTAGATATGTTTTAGTTTATATAAGTATATATCTATGTTTCTATTATGAATGAATCGAACAAAATAGTTAAGGGCAAGCGATTACTTAGAATGTAGTTTAATAAAGTTAAAGATATGTTAAGATAGAACTCGTTTGTATATTTACCTAAATATTTTTTGTATCGTCATTCTAATACTGTCTGACGGCATCAAGAGATTTTGATACATTTTTTGTTTTTGAAATATGTACACATCTTTTATTTTAATGTTTTTGCTAATTTGCTTGTATATTTTATCTTTCTTATCCAAACATTTCTTTCAGAAACAACTCAAATTTAGGTTTTCATATTTAAAACGCGTATGCTTAACGGACATGTACAACAAACTAAGAATTATATTGACAAATACTTTATGAATTCTTAAAACTACTTGATTGTTTTGTAATGTTGTGTACCTATTTTGGTTGTGAGAAGTAATATAGATAAGTAATAAAATAATGGCTATATGTAATGCTAAAATAATATAATTATTGTAGTGATTTTTACTTGACGATCATAAAATAACAATTATGTTCTGATATTTGCACTCCTTGTTTTATACAAGTAGTAAAAAATTATACATTCCAAAAAATATCAGGAATTTCGTTCTTTTAATATTTTTCTTTTGATTGATAGCAATTTGACTCAGTCTTTTAAGATTTATTTCTTTAAGATTATTATTTGATATTTCAAGACAGTGTTTATTTAATTAAAGCTAAGTAAATCACAAATATTGTATTTTAAGCATACAATTATGATTAAATAAAATGAGATATTAGAAGCTTATTCATGTTGTCATTTTAATATGTATACCTAATTATTCTCAACCGCAACGTATTCTATACCATTAGCATGTATGACATCTACTACACCTTTTTCCAATTAACAAAACAAATGCAACTGAAAACAACTATCACACAAAACAATATTTTTTTATTCGGATTAACAGAATGAAAAAGTTAAACTACATATATAATTAAAGAAAAAATGACATGGTACCAGCTTTTCGAATTTACTACTTATGTAATCAATATTTTTAGTGTGAATAAATGTTTATCTTGAGAAATGTAAATTCATCGAACCGTTACATCCTGTTTTATCTTTGCAATTATGATACATACCAGTCACCGAATAATGGTGTACGTACTTTTAACTTTTGCGCTTCACTATGTATTATCTATATTTCTAAGTCATAATTCTTTTTATTTGGTATTTTTTGAAAATTCAACATGGCAACACTTCTGTTATTAATGCGTTCGTTTTGCATTTTATTATCTATATCAGTCGCGGCTTTAGCGCGCTGTTTGTAATGCGTATGGTTGTGTCGCAGAATTGATTTAAAAGTTTTATAAATAAAAAAATATGTAAACGTGTGTAATTAAGTTAAAAGTTTTTAAAAAAATATTAATAATAATGTGATTAAAATTTCTTATTGACTCCAAGAAGAATGTCAAGGAAAAGTTGGTTTCGTTGGTAAATATAAGTCAATATTTTGTTTGATTGAATGTATGTATAACAAGACTAGATAATTGTTATTGCCAAGACCTGTAGGGACACATATTGCTATCTTTCATATTCTCTTTAAAAAAACAGAGACGACAATTGTGACAAAGCAATCTAAACGTTTATTATTATTTATTATATTGACAGGTTTATTTATCGTTGTATGTTGGCGGGAAATGGTTTAGCAAATGACACATTATTGCCATAGCAACATGGCTCACGGTCTCACGGTCTTCTATAAATGTCTATAAATACCGTCTTTAATGTTCGTCGATATAAAGGTCGTAGGTTCGAATGTGTTTGTTTTTTACTTTCTTAACTATTATTTGTAAGTATTTTTTTCTAATATAAAAAGTAAATGAGATGTAGTTTTCATAGGCACAGTTGTAATATGCGAATGTGTGCATAATTAAATATAGCTAGCTGCATAGCATAACCACCGACCTTCACAAACATCAGATGTGCCTACAGTAGGGTTGCCAACTCTTTGGATTTAATCCGAATTCTTCGAGTTTGCACGGTAAATATATTTGACATCGATGATTTATTTCCTAGTTAGGTAAGAATCAAGGGTAGACAAGACGCCGTCAGTGTTCGAGTCTACGTTTGTCGTAAATTGGCAGCCCTACCAACCGGAGGTCAAGTTTCCAATACACATATTCCTCTTGGAAATAAGTATTTTCTTATCACTGAAAAATATATTTATCTTAATAATGCGTTATTGTAATAAAAACGAAGACTTTTATCTTTCTTTATTTTCCAAATAATTAAGTTTTATTACTCTTTATAATTTACGCCATAATTGCGAGATTTAACACTTAAATAATTAATTGAAGGAGGCTAGCAGAAAACTTCAATTAATCATAATTAATACTTTTTTTTTATTTAAAAAAAATCTTGTGCATCAACTAATAATTATTAAATTAAAGTAATTCCCCTTAAGTACAAAGTCACATATGCTTATAATATGTAGTCAAAACTTTCATGTGGCGGTCCGGGCCGTCTTAACCCGGGGTTGTGGGGCGTCTGGATGCCGGCTTCTGTAGGTTGCGCGAGACTATACAAATACCATTTTTAGGAATACCAGACTGATTGTCGAACCCGGCCGCCAAATAGGATGAAGACGGCCCTGTTTACCTTCTGGTTAAATTCTAGAAAACAAACTCCGACGACAGATTCCCTGTTTATGACGTAATGTTTTATTTATTCATATCATTATCAAGTGTCAAATTAAAGTTATGCACACTTGTTGACTGAGCAAACAAAGACAGTGCATGATGTTAGATGTCCATGTTGACTTCTTCTTGCTTTAATATTAGGAGTGTATCACCAAAATATAATCAGTATAACAGAGAATCTGATAAAGTACCCGCTCCAGAGAGACAGTATAAAAGATAGGTCAAGAAAACAAAGTCTTTATAATAAACCCGTAGCTACATCGTATAAATAACAGAATGAAAAAATATAGTAAGCGACTTGCAATAGCTTAAAAAACACATGATCATTACTTATGTTCTACATTAACACGGAAGAAGTGACAAACAAAAGCCTTGTATAACACAATGCAACACGTGGTGTACATTTTGCCATCATAATTATCGCAAGGTAGCCGCGACAAATGACACATGTTGAATCCAGTTAAATTCTGTTACGGATAGGCACAGTATGTGACTAATGTAAAAGCCTTGCCGATATCTGCCACAAGCCAGAGCTCAACCAACATTGTTACTGTAAACACCTCTCTTTGGTAAGCTTTTATTTTATCTTGATAAGTTTCATAGCTTACAAACTTACAGACTTCTTAATATGTCGCGTCGCTAAATCTATCGTCATTTTTGTTGAATGCAAATAATTTGCTCGTTTGTGTTGTGTTTATTAAATACATTTTAGCGTACATTCCTAGCAATATGATTCCATAACAATTTGTATTATAAACATTTCGATAATGATTTCTATTATCAAATTTCTTTAGTATTTGTGAAAATGAATGACATCAACAATATAGCCTCCTTTAAGTAAATCTAATTACATGTTCAAGATCAATTATACTGTTCACAGATATAATCTAAGCTTTGCGGACGTTACACGATGGAGAGACTGTGGAGGGCGCTGCGGGGCGGGATCAGAAGTGGAGATGGCAAGGAGACGGAACGCGAGCTGAACCGCAGCACGTACTCGCTGGTGTCGTGCGGTGACGTCACCCCGCACACCCTGCAGCTATGGCTCACCCTGCCGGATGAGATCAAGAACGACCCAGACCTCGACAAGTTCAGGAAGCTGTATGAGGAGACTGGTACGTCTATGGATAAACCGATTCAGTGCAAAGTTTATAGCGGCACACACGAGACTAAGACGAGATAATTTTAGTTATTGGGATGCAACCGCGACGCAACTCTGCATAAACTTGCGATAGCAGCTAACCACGAGACGTCATTATGTTTAAAATTTATAATACTAGGATGAGCCTCTAGAACGTCTTAATATTTGTCTAACTAAGTGCCAGAATTCCTTGAAGATTTGTTAGAAAATATTTCGTTTCTTTTAAGATTATGGTACTTGAAAAGTTCTCGCAAAACCGGAGTTTAGTATATACTATCTTATAAAATTTCTTTGTTTGACAATATACAATCTATCTTTCCAAGTCTAGATAAATCTAAAGAGAAAATATCTAGATTGTTATCATTTTTTCGATAATGATGCGTTTATCTCTGGATATTTCTTGATATTTTCTCCTTTCTTTTATACAAATACAAGTTCCTCTGATAACGTTGACGAAAGATACCAGAAATATGAACAGAACGAGTAGGTATATACTTAAGTTTAATTATTACTAATTACATCACCAGATGTTGTCAGTCATTTGATATCTAGAAAACGATAATACCTTACCTTGTATAAGTCTATAGTAACAACGCGTATATATTATAAAATAACAAGTAAATAAATAAATAAATAAATAATACAATGGTGCGAGTGAATATGACTCAGCGGACACCGGTACAAGATGCACACTATTGTAAATTAAATATTATACACGTAAATCCTAATTCTGAGGCGTTTTAAACGTAATCAGATATGTATAACAGCTTATTTATTCGTACCTGTTATTTCAAGGTGACAAAGCTCGCGAAAAATTATTAAATCATCCAAAATAACATTTGCTAATATGCACTACAAAAATGGATGTGGTAAAATGTTTTTATAGTTTTGGTACAAAACATCGTCACGTCCTTATCTGATGACAAGATTTTTTTATGTGTTGTATTTTATTTGGGTGTGTTAAATGTTAAATTGGCATTCGGGCTATGCGATCAGTAGAGTCGTCTTAACTTGGTGCTGTAAATGGGAGCCGGGCCTTAGTAGTGGCACCCATGTGCCTGACCTTGGGGTCGCCAGCCAATGACTTCACACCAAGATGTTCAATATGGTTATGACGACCCTGACGAAAGAGGAAGAAAGAGAGTGCTATTCTCTATTGTTTGTAATAATATTGTTGGGATGCTACATTAAACCCGGGTCATCATCATCAGCTCACTATATGTCCCCACCGAGGGGCTCGGAGCCTACCCTAAGTTAAGGGTGACTAGGCCATAGTCAACCACGCTGGCCAAGTGCGGGTTGGTTGACTTCACACATATCTTTGAATTTCTTCACGGATATGTGCAGGTTGCATCACGATGTTTTCTTTCACCGTAAGAACGTCGGATAAATGTACATATGTAAATCGAAAATCTAAAAACACATTGGTACATGGCGGGATTCGAACCCAGGACCTGCAGATTACAAGTCAAGTGCTGAAACCACTGAGCCACCGACGCTCTCAAACCCGGGTGGCAGGTGATATTTATAACTAGACTTTTATTTCGCACGGACGATGTCGCGGGCAACTGCTATCATTCATATTTAGGTAACGGTGAAGATGTAGTGCGAAAGGTTTTAGTGTATCTGCAATAATTAACCTTCTTCCAGATAAATCTAAAATCAACCCTGATGACAAGAATGTATCCGAGGCTACTTCCAAGCGCCTGCCCATGGTCCATTCAGCACCGCTCCTGGACGGGAGAGACGGGATAGAGGGGAATACGAACGGGGATGCTACAGCCGATGCGTCAGAAAACAACGAAACCAAAGATAATGTGTATGGATCTTAATTATTGATATTAACTGACTTTACCTATGTATAAAAATCTCGGAAATAATACGAAGCGTCGAATATATTTTCTAAAAATCATTCATACAAACAAACTAACGTATATTATTACAAATATATATTCTTTTTAATTTGCATTGACGTCATTAATTTAAAACAAAACAAATTATTATTTGAATAAGTCAAAGAAGCTTAAAAGTTTATTTTTATATATATATTTTTTTATTTTCAGAGAAATTCAAGCAAACAGCAAATTAAGTACAAAGGTAATTTAATACAATAAATGATTTCGTATAATTTCATACTTCTTACAATAATAATAACTTCCGTGGCTTGTAAATAAATTAACACTTTTACGGAGTTTCAATGTTACTATTACTTTTTATAACATCGCATCTAAAAGCAACATACGATATTCATCAAATTATTGGTTACGATTTTTTTACAATTACGTAGAAGTCGTCTATAGATGCTTAAAGCGATTTAGCTAAATATGGACCGACAGATCTGTTTGTGGCCTTTCCTGTCTTGTTTGACCTTGACACAATATATTTGTTTTTATTTTATTTTATAATATATTCCAGTTATTGAATGCGAAGTATTACACAAAGATGACGTTGTTGTTGGGCTGCTGGTTGTTCTTTACAGTCGTCTTCCTGACCTGCAACGAGAAGAAGGAATTCTTCAAGAACACGGCAGTGTCACCGGGACTGATTAAAAGTATGTTCCTAGATCGAGCATGAGCAAAATGTCTAGTTATCTAGATATCTGGAAGTTAAAAATATGCACGCTAATTATTTATATACTAAAATAAAAATATGGAAAAAGCACAACAGGTTTTCTAACGTTGAATATAGAGAGAAAACAAGTTGAGATAGGCCATGTCACATTTTAGATTTCACGATCGGCGCCATAGAAGCGACGTCGATTCTAGTCAAAGTATCGGGACCTTTCCTGTCAGAGCACGCGGAGATCAAGTTGAACTCCAGCGAACTGGACACCAGGGACAGGATGGTGATGTGGCTGGAGACGTGGAACTCTTCAAATACTGGGGCACAAAATCAAATGGTGATTACCTAATGAATAACATTTCAGTGTCTGTATATGTAATATCGTAAAAAAATAAATTTGGTGAATTTGCGTTGCTTATAGTGATATTCCAAATTTTAATACCTATGTTTTTGCCTACAAATCAGTTTTAATTCTGCAATGACGAAGTCCATATTTCTTTGAAAAAACGGCAAGAACATTTGTGCAATTCCATTAATCATTCTAGAAAACGGATTCCTGGACAATATTCTTAGAAGACGAGGATCTGGACTTCAACGGAGGTGAAGAAAGATGGAGGAAGTTTGAGTTGGCGCAGGGCAACAGCACGTACGTCCTGCGCATGAAGAGCTCGGGCGAGCAGACGGTGGCGCTGGCGCTGAGCTGGTCTCTTGACCTGGTGGGAGTCAGCGGCGTGGTGTATGCGTGTGTGCTGCTGGCCGGACTGTACGTGCTCATTATATTTGAGGCGAGTATACAGAACACACTGAATGCGACTCTTCGCTTGAAGGAAATTTGTCACATATCATAATTACGATTAGTAATTTTGATTCTTCTTTTAATATCTTGCATTGACTGGTCATTGTTTTCTTATTCACCGTTCCAAGTTCGTTTTTTTTTTCAGGTAATAAACCGCACCATGGCCGCCATCTTAGTTTCGACGATGTCGATAGCTGCCTTGGCCCTGGTGGGCGAGCGGCCGTCGCTCCCGGAGATCGTCTCCTGGCTGGACGTGGAGACGTTGCTGCTGCTCTTCAGCATGATGCTGCTGGTCGCCATTATGGCGGAGACCGGCATATTTGATTACTTGGCTGTCTTCGCCTTTGAGGTAATTATTGAACGTGCCGAATGTTTTGTCCTTTTAAGTATTTTGATGTTTTTTCATAATTTAATATTTACACCAATCATTAATAGTTTACTTAGGGACATTTCGAATACACAAAAAGTCGAGTGCGACAGTTAGTTTAAGCAATATGTCAGGTGACAGGAGGCCGCTTGTGGTCGCTGGTGTTCCTGCTGTGCGGCCTCACTGCTGGATTCTCCACCTTTCTCGACAATGTGACCACCGTGCTGCTCATGTCGCCCGTCACCATCAGGTACGTTGTAGCGCATCTCTCCTCCGACCTCACACCTCGCCCGGTGCCATCTGACCACACTGAATGATTAATATACATCATGTGCAGACTGTGTGAGGTGATGGACTTGGACCCGGTGCCGATCCTGATGCTGATGGCCATCTACAGCAACATCGGCGGGACCGCCACCCCGGTCGGCGACCCGCCCAACGTCATCGTCGCGTCCAACAAGGCCGTCATACAAGCCGTGAGTTCACGTCGCTCAGTACTGTGGCGGAAATACTTTCCTAGCTTTGATGTCAAACCGTCAGCTTGAGAAGGGAGAAGGTCGACATCTTTCTACATTCGTCTCAGCATTAATTTATATACTGAACAATTGTCCCGCTTTCGGTGATATCGTGCCGAGTATCTCTCAGTAGAACTTCACTTGTGCAGGGCATCAACTTCAGCAACTTCACGCTGCACATGGCGCTGGGCATCCTGGTGGTGTGTGTGCAGACCTCGCTGCAGGTGCGCTACATGTTCCGGGACACCGCCCGCCTGCGTCTGCAGGAGCCTCGACACATACAAGGTCACACACACTTACTGTGCCGTGCTGTGTCCCTGCTACTCCGTACTCGCTTCTAACCTTTTTCTTGCTCACCAAAAACTCTGATGTGATATTAAAAGCACAGATCAGTAGTAGATCTTTCAAATTGTTGCGTTCAAACATTTCGTAATCTAGTCACACAAGTTATAAATGATGTAAATGTGTTGTGTGTTGTGTGATGCAGACCTGCGCAACCAGATATCTATCTGGCATCGCGCGGCGGAGTCTCTGCCGCATCTGAGCAAGGAGGTGCAGGTGGTGCGCGAGCGGCTGCTGCGCAAGGAGGACAAGCTGCGCCGTCAGCTGCACGCCGCGCTGCGACACTCCAGCACCAGGGCCTGCCCCGAGGACACCTTCCACACCACCCTGATACTACTCAAGGATAAGGTGGATCACTTACTTTTTACCAAGTATTTCCTTCTTTTCTGCCTGTAACGAAGATAACAATAAGAGTGTCGTTTTGCAGTACAAGATCAGGGATAAGACGCTGCTGCTGAAGGCGGCGGTCACCATCGCCTTCGTCGTGGTCGTGTTCTTCCTGCACTCCATACCAGAGTTCAGTGAGTCACCGACATTGTATAATGTGATTTGATGTTTTCATTAATATAGGCCTATTCGTGTTACAATTGTTACCAACTGCATGAATATAAGACAAATGAAAAATAAAATATTTGCCACAATATGAATTATTGTAAGATTAAAGAAGTCCGGTATGGTCTGCAAACAAGAGATATATCCGCAGACCGCGTGTCTCTGAGCTGGACGGCGCTGCTGGGCGCCATCCTGCTGCTGCTGCTGGCGGACCGCGCGGACCTGGAGCCCGTGCTGCACAGGGTCGAGTGGTCAACTCTGCTTTTCTTTGCTGCACTCTTCGTGCTTATGGAGGTACCTCATATACACGAAGCAACAAGGGGAAGAGCATGGATGACCTTACGAGATGAACTGTCACATACTTGTATTTAGTGTGTGTGTGTGTGTGAGCAGTACTAGTAAGAGTGTGTGCACTGCATTGTGCAGGCGCTGTCGCGGTTGGGGCTGATCTCGTTCGTGGGCGGGCTGCTGCAGCAGGTGGTGCTGCAGGCGGAGGGCCGCGCGCGTCTCGCCCTCGCCATACTGCTCATACTCTGGGTGAGTGCTTGTGCTTAGTTGCATATTGCCGTACGTATAACGTAGTAGTGAGATGTGTCTATGTCGCAGGTGTCGGGGATGATCTCCGCCTTTGTGGACAACATCCCGCTGACCACTATGATGGTGCGCGTCGTGGTGACCATCGGCTCCAACCCCGACATCGGCCTGCCTCTGCCGCCGCTCATATGGGCCTTGCTCTTCGGAGCCTGCTTGGGAGGTGAGCAAGAACAAGGTTATGACAAATATTCCGTGTCCGACAACGATCAGATCTTAGGTCTGGGATAAAGCTGGCAAGATGTCTGTCAGTGAAAGCCATGTTGTGTCCGCAGGTAACGGCACTCTGATCGGCGCGAGCGCGAACGTGGTGTGCGCCGGCGTGGCGGAGCAGCACGGCTACCGCTTCTCCTTCCTGCAATTCTTCCGCGTCGGCTTCCCCGTCATGATCGGTCACCTCCTCGTCGCCTCCGTCTACCTCCTCCTCTGCCACTGCGTCTTCACCTGGCACTAGGCCACTGCACAAGAGCATCAGATGGTGACTACTGTGCAATGTGTGTCTGCCTCCGCGAGACAATACTATCGACAGTGGCGCCGCTCGCTGCACCTGATTGGGCGATTGTATTGAAGATGTCCAATTTAAGTAATAATGTAATTATAATAAAGTGTGAATGTATGTTAGTGTAAATATTATATAAGCTTATACTTTGTTTAATCACTATTTATGTATTGATGATAGTGTAACACAAATTACTTGAAATATTATTTACATATTTATCATAAAATTCGAAGAGACGGAAATCTTACCAGGCGCTAGTTTATTTGTTATAAAAACCTTTATGTTAGAAAAATATCGAATGTTTATTAGTTATTTGCTTATTTGTTTTTGTCTTAATTTCTATGGCAAAATAGTCGTCCGTCCAGTGTACATCGGATCTCTTAATTTGTAGGCAATAAATATATTCGTGTAAATGATAATTTTCAGAGTTAAAATTGATATCGATGAAGTACAAATAATTAAGTTATTATAATTGTAATTTATCATTTAAATGCAATTAATTGTAATAAAATTATAATTAAAAATTGTTTTACTTTCACTGTTTTAACTTACATCTAATAAAAATAACTATTATTTATGACGTTTCGGGAAATCTATTTACATATTTGTAAATAAAACTAATTTTTTTACATGTTCATTAAATATTTATTAATTACAACATGACGTATCATTTCGCAGTTATACAACTGATAGTTTTTTTTAAATAAAAATAAAACTGATTCTCTTGTACTGTGTAATAATTTTGAGCAATATTTTAATCACATAAATAACATATAATTTTAAAAGAAAAATAAAAGATCTGAACATATTTTCTGCTTATTAAACCACTAATATTAGTTAAAGGGAATAGTAATATTTGCTACCTATAACTAAATTTTCACAAGTGTAACGAGCTTCGTTTGTTATATCTTGGTCTACAGATACCTTTGAATTCAAAACGTAAAATTATAATTATATAAACGAATTAATTTACAACTACTTAGGACGAACAAACACCATGATCTACTGCAGGCACTAAACAATAATATCTAATATGGTCTACTGACACGTAATACGCAAGATGGCGGATGTGTCTGCATTTTTCCCGCCAAATTTGAGAGAAATTATTGTATGTGTAATTTGTAAATAAACATGTATTTTATAATTATTTCGCGGTAATTTATGTATAGACATAAAATAATTGAAAATATATTTTGATCTCTGATATATTTAATTTAAAAAAGAAGTATATTTCGTAATTTTTAAATGTAATATATTTTGTATTTCCATTAAATAAATAAATTTGTGTATTTTCTATATTGAATTAGGCATATGGAATAATAAAAGTTAAAATCAGAAATCTTTATATTACTTATGAACACCACTCGTCGTAAACTTACAAAAAATTGAATGTAACCAGCATTCACATGTCTACGTAAGTTACGTAAAGGCTATTTTACTGCTAATAATATTTATTGTGTTTCGGTACTTTATTATAATAGTATACCTAACCTTAAATGTAGTGTAACTATTATATCCACATCCACAGTTAATCTAATAAGTTGAAGTAAACTTTAAAGTTATTTAGCTATAAGATTATACCTAACTTCACACACTCGGGCAACATTAAGGCGAACTATACAAGCTATATGTGCTAAGCTCATGATATCATCTTTGAATAACTCTAACTTGCACAGTATTGATGGCTTTCGTAGACTCTTTGGTACTTTGCTTCAGCTAATGCTTTTTTAAGTTTTTTTATATTATTTTACTTAAGCTATGTTTTATTTGTATATATTTCCTAATTAAAATTGTAAGCTTTCGGGCAGTACAGGATAAAGATAAGATTTTGAATATTTGAGCATAACTACATAATTTAACAATGTCTTAGCGAATTAAACACATTGTGTTTATTGTAGAAGTTATTCGTTTAAGCTCTATTAACCATATTGTAATTTTATTTCACTAAACATACAATGACAAATTGATGTTTTATAGTTTTCAGATGTAACATCCTCACAGCGATACTTACGACTCTATAATCTAGTGAAAGTTTTATGTTGAAGTACATGACTTGTTCACCATGTTGGTGGTGGAGGGGGCGGGTGCGGTGACGGAGGCGGGTGCTAGAGCGCGCGGTTGTGTGGCCGCAGCGGGCGGATCTGCTTCAGCTTGGTGGACTGTCCGTCGAACTTGATGTCGACGTCGCAGTCGCTGAGCGGATGCGACACCACCGAGCTCACCTCCTCCCCCCTCTCCTCCCTCCTCTCCGCCTCGGCCGGGCTCAGCGGCGTCACGAACCCGCTGTCGCTCGACTTCGTCTCCTGCACCTTCGTGCTGGGTGTCAAGTTCAAGGACATACTCTTCCTGCTCTGGAATATGTTGAGGTCGTCGAGGTAGGAGGTCGGAGTCAGCTTCGGGTCCGGCTTCTTCAGGTTCTCGTCGAAGTCGTGCTTCAGCTGCCGCTCGAACAGCCGCTCCTGCCGGATCTGCTCGTGCGTGTTGGCGAAGAAGCCGGAGCTCTTCCGGCCGAGTTCCCGCAGCGACTCGGACAGGATCTCCGAGCGGAACTGCTGCTGCGTCTCCGGCTTCTCGTCCAGGACCTTCATCGCGTAGTTTCTGGGCGCGATCAGGCCCGAGTGTATGGACTGAGATTTCTTCATCATGAAGTGTCTTCTGTCGGCGTCCGGGTAAGATTTCGTACTTTCCCTGGACACCGCGGACATTACCTCCTCCTTGGATGTCTTGGAGAAGAGGTTGGGTGCGCTGGTGCCCGTCTTGAAGTTCCTCTTGGGGTCGTCGTCCTCCTCGCTGGCGAACTTGTTGGAGAATATCTTGGAGCTGAAGGAGAGCTTCTTGGCGTAGGGTTGGATGACGCGGCGCACGTCGGGCGGCAGGTCGCGCTGCGCGGCCAGGTGCCGGCTCAGCAGGGCCAGCTGCTGCTCCAGCGCCTTGTTCTGCTGCTCGAGCCGCGCCTGCGTCTTCTCGTAGTTGTCGATGGCGGCCATCGCCGACTGCAATACAAGTAATAAGTTTGACACATCTGTGTTGATACTTGTGCGTGTGTATCGTAGTAAGCACTAACGTCCAGTTCTCCGGCCATGCGCTGGTTGTCTGCGACGAGGCGCTGGTTGTCGCTGGAGAGTGCGGCGAGACGCGGCATCTCCTCGCTGAGCACGGCGTACTCCACCGCGTACTCGCTCAGCTGCCGGCTGATGTCCAGGCTCGCTACCTGCACACAATGTCGCACCGGTTGATACTATGCCAAACCATCACATAACAGGTCTTCAGTATTATATGAAGAGCGCGATAGAATTGGTTTCCGACCTTCTTCATGACCTTATCGTAGATGTTGTTGTCGATGTCGGGCAGCTTGTGCTTGAGGTACTCGGCGGCCTCCTCGCAGCTGGTGCACATGAGCAGGCCGTCGCGGTGCACCCACAGTAGCGCCAGCGACACAGAGAACACCACGTCCAGAGACTCCAGGAAGATTAGGTCTGATCATAAACAATGCCTTTATTGAATGTTCGAAACTAAATAATTTTTCTCGATGGCGTAGTATATGGAAATGAAGAAGTACCGACCGAAGACCCTGACGACGAAGCCGAGCGGGAACTGGCTGGTAAAGAGCGTGAGCATCCAGGGCGCGGCGTAGAGCGCGGGCGCCACGTCCAGCGCCGCCAGCCGCGCCCACAGCTCCGGCTCCTCGTCACGCACCAGCCGCGACAGCTGGTACAGCTGCCCGACACACACGTGCACATTGCGCGTTAGGTATCGTCGCCGCAACACCAGTCACACGCGAGAGAGCGATGTATCGTGTAATGTTGACATGTTACCTGGACCTGCAGCGCGCTCATGTCGGGCAGGTACTGCCTGCGCAGCCCGCGCCGGAACATCAGATGCCGCAGCAGCGCGAACGCCTCCGCCTCCTCCATCTGACATCACATTAGTTGAACATCCTAATTCACGTTTACGTGTGTTGTATACGTGTATGTGTGTGTACGTACGTGCAGCAGCAGGACGCCGGCGACGAAGCTGAGGCCCTGGCAGTAGCCGACCTCAGGATCCAGCAGCGAGTAAGCCTTCAGAATGTTGTAGAGCGCAAGCTGGCCCGGCCCCAGCGCCGCCGCGAAGTACCCGTGCTTGGGGAACGTGCGACCTGCAGAACAACAGAAAATGCTCCTGCCTCGTAACTCCATTCTCAGATATATAACGCACCCACAGTCTTTTAATGGTTACTGAATTAAACTGTCGCTTTTGTAGATTTGGTACGTAAAAACTAAACTAACTTAGTGACCATTAAAGGACTGAGTACAGTAGTAAGAATAATATTAGCAGGGACAGGACATAAGCGATACTTTTGTTGTGTTAACTATGACGTGAAGTAATAATGTCAGCGCCATCTATCTGTTACATACCGAGGTCGATGAGTATGGCGTGCTGGTGCTTGGTGAGGGAGGCGAGCAGCGCGCGGTAGGGCGTGTGGTAGCGCGGGCAGGCGCGCACGTCCGCCGGCGGCAGACGCAGGCTGGCCTGCTCCGCCAGGAAGTACCACACCACGCCCCGGGAGACGCGCGGCACGCCTGCACACAACAGTTAGCACTCTGCTTACTTACTATTCCAATCGTATATATGTAGAGGGCGCCTCGAGCAGTGTAAGTTGTCAAGTACCTCTGCGCACGGCCTGCGTGAGCATGTGCCTGTCGACGCGCGGCGCTGGATGTGAGCGGTCGCGCGCCAGCAGGGAGTCCCACATCTGCACCACGCCGCCGTCGCACGCACCCAGCTCCGCGTACTCCAGCTTGATGCGCCGTACTGCCGACGACTCTTCACTCTCTGTACACCACAAATTGCATTAAAGCGAACGAACAAGATGAAGAACTCTACCAAATTCAGCAATAATAACATTTTTAACAATAAACAATTATGAGTTGCTTACCTTTGAGCCTGGCGTTCTCCTTCTCCATACGCACGAGCAGTATGGTCTGGTCGATGGCCATGCGCCACAGCTGGCGCAGCTGGTCGCGACTGCGCCGCCCCGCCGCGTGTCCCGTGCTTGACGCGCGCCCTAACAACGCCCCCGGCGTCAGCTCATCTGGATCACCAGAAGAGTATTACGGGGAAATTAAGACTGAAGAAACACTTCATTTTATGTCCAATTCTTCAACTATGTCAATGTACATACCTTCGTGTGTGTCAGGTGGCTGCGTCGCCTTCTCGTAGATGGCCTGTCGCCACGTGGCATCAGACTCGCTGCCGGGCTCCGTGTTGGCTGGTCGTGAGTCACTCACTTTGAGGAAGCTGACACGAAAATATTATTTGATGTTAGAAGAGAAAAATAATCTGCCTTATCAGGTTATAATGATTTCATGAATAATGAAGTAAATACGTACAAGACTTCAGTATAGTGATAGACTTACATATCCATCATGGGAGAGTTGACGGCAGTGGTGTCATCCTTCAACTCCTCCGGTTCCTCCTCCAATGGTGGAGGAATCGAGGGAGATCCAGGCGAGTCTAGAGAAATTAATGTAACGTATTATGTATAATAAAATATGGAAATTGAAAAATTAAAAAAAGGAAAGTGATGTTATACGTTGGAGTACGTGTTTAGAATGTTTGTTATACCTGTGTCGGGGAGCACGGCGGGCGACATGGACTTGGCCCTGAGGTCTGGCGGGTGCAGCTCGCCGCTCCCCGCCTCACAGCTCGCCTCCAGCCCCGCGCCGCCCGCACCTGGTACTTCCTGATCATTTTGCAAATTAAATCAAATAAACATTGAACGACTACGTTGACTGTCTTATAAAATACTTGAGCTATCGAATGTTTTTTTTCCTTTATCGTTTTATCTTCTTCTCTTACCTTTTTAGTCGGCGTGACGACTAGGTTGTTCTCGTCTCTGCTCGCCTTCCTCTTCAGCAAGTGGTCGAAGCCGCTGGAGAGGGAGCGCTTCGCCTTCATGAATATAGTGCTACCGCCCAGGTACTGGTTCAGGAACTCCGATCTATAACGAAAGTTATACGAGTGAGGATTTATAATGACCGCTTAAAGATTATGCTGTTACGGTGTGCAAAAGCATATTGTTATGTGAGTATTTTCAGAGAGAGTGAGAGAATGAAAGAGATGAGAGGTACCTGTTCTCTGCGGTGTCGTGCACGTGCCGCTGCTGCTTGGCCTCGCAGTGCGCGCGCAGCAACATCATCAGGAACGCGTTGTGCTCGCTCACCTGCAATGATACGTCTTTTAACTTTTAGAAAGCATGGATAAGAAGTATCTGCCAGCACTGAAAGTCGCTGCTTATTTAAGCAATCTCTAAGTGATGACGTCATACGAAGAAACGGTTTGTGATCACCATAAGCAAAAAAATGAGCATAGATATTCCTGAAAGCAGTTTGTGACGTCACCTGACCTCATACATGTGGTTGGTGCCGCCCTGGTACTTGGTGACGATCAGCTCCTGCTCCTCCTCCGGCAGCTGCTCGATGCGCCGCAAGATGAACGCGTGCGTCTTCTTCTCGTTCATGCCTACCAGGATAACAGACTTTTGTAATGAGTAATATACCGTTTGCTATAGTTAAATATAATTTTTAAGACCACTTCTAGGTTACCTTCGATGTCATGACAGAGACGGTGGTACCACAGCAGCGGGCAGTGCTCGCACGTCATGTTGGGAGACTTCTCCCGAGACTTCTTCAGCAGCTCCGCGTGCGCCACGAACGCCTGTCTTATTGCTGACAATCAAAACAAATTGTTATTTTTGTATATTTATTATATCTCAATGTTTCTTTTTAAGCATTAGGGATTACCTATCACTAGCGGATGATTCTACTAAAATTACGCAATATTTACAAATAAATAGTATATTAAAGTGAAACTACATCCGACACTGTAGTTTTTTTTTTTGTAAAAACAACTTTTAACCTATGTGGAAACCTTACGAATAATGATAATGACGAATATTTAATAAAACTCATAACGATAAACACTTTCAAACAATTAAAATTAATTCACAGAGATAAAAAATACAGAAAAATTAATTTAACAAATATTCTTATAATGCGTCACGACACGAACATCAGACTTGATTGAAATGAGACGAAGATGCGGTGCAGTACTAGGTAATTAACAATGCTGATTGTCAATTGACTTCTGCGCGACTTCTATAGAAAAATGATTGTCCTGCGGCACAGTATGTGACTTATGTTCTCAACATCGTACAATATTTATAAAGAACTAACAGCGATTAAACGAGTATATCTGCTTTAGAGATTCGCTAAATCAATCGATATTTTCACATTTCCGCGATCTTGTGTAATATAATTTAACAATTAACTTTTTTTGTTAATTCATTAATGAACAATGTGTCGGTGTCGAGGGATGTGTAGACAACTAACCATTGACAAGTTCAGTGGCGATGGAGTCGCTCTCGCACTTGAAGACGTAGCAGGCGTAGGTGTCGGAGGTGTTGGAGGTGTTGGAGGTGTCGCGGCACACGAAGCCGAAGTGGTCGGTGTGCACGCGCCCCACCACGCAGCTGGCCACGTGCGCGAACGCGCGCTGCAGCAGCACCTGCTTGCGGTCCGGGCTGATCAGCCGCAGCTCGCTCCTGCCCACCTGCACACATTCAGCACACATTATGCACACATTGTGCAACATCAAGGAACGTCACTACATAACCTGCACTCACTGCACAAAGAGCGAAGCAAAGTTTGCACGTCAGGATTCAACTGGTGTAAAAATCGCAACGCTTTATTAGTAGATATTGAGAAATCGATTTGAAATTTACCTGAAAAAGCATAGTTCTGTTTTGCTCTCCGATTAAATGAGCTATAGGTGTCTTCAAATTCAATGTTCCAATGGAAGCAGATCTGTCCCTTAGAAACTGTTTGTTCTCCGGCATCGCTCCCATCTTATCATTATTTCTATTTAACTTCAATTGTAAAGGTTTTGGCGTTTTAGAATCGTGTGATGTTGGACTGTCTGGAATATTGTCTGTAGATTTAGCGTCTATATCGGTTTTTTTCACAGCAGTACTAATTTTTATTGGTATGTTGAGCAAAGGATCGTTTACGTGTACACTTTTTGTATCATTGCTACCTTCACGGATCTCTTTGCGAAACGGATTAGTGTCTGTAGCAACATTGTCAGATGACTTCGTATTTGAATTTATAAAATTCTTTTGACAAAATTGCGTTATCGATGACGCAGTTTCGGATATAACTGATTGTATTTCTTCACTCTTCTCCTCGTCTTCTGTCACTGTGCCCAGATTTGTAGGTACGTTTAGTACTAACACGTTTGGTTCCAAAGGGGTTTGACTAGTTTTTCGTGTTTGAGTATTTTTCTCAATCCTTTCTTTACTAAATGTATCAAATTCTTTGTCTATTTCGTTGCTTTCACTTTTAACGAGTTGGTGATTTTTAGTCTGTTGTAAATTTTCTACACTTTTCCAAACATGGCTTTTGTCAGGTTCCAGCGGCGTTGTGCTTGTCATCAGATTACTATTCCTGTTGTGTACATTTTCACTGACTGCATCAGATTTCGTATCGTCTTTTATGTTTTCTGATGAATTGCTATACAGAGAAGTCTAAAAAAAACAAGGAAGTTTAGTAATTGTTCCCGAAAATATATCAGTTATTATCTTTATATCTGTATACTTACACCGGTAGAAGATATGAGACTGTGCCGCCGCTGATTCTTGATTTTCTCAGCCTCGTGTTGAGCGAACTTGTGAAGGGCGTCATCTATCAAAGTTTCGGGAACTTTCCTCTGTGATATCCTGACTTTGCCGATATAAAGAACCTGCAAGCATTCAATTACGTTAGATCCCACATCGATATATTGACCCGTTCATTTTACTTATAAGATGGATTACTTTTACCTCAAAGAAATGTGAGTCAGATGGCGAGAGATCTGCGCATAACGAAGTTAGAGCAGACGCGTTACTGACACTTCGCACTAAGCCTGATGAGTCGTTTGTTCTGTAACAATATTTCATAATACAAACAATACTTATTTTATTTTTGGCCTGTTATAGCTGATTGAAAAAAGTACATATGGACGGTCAAAGTATTGTTCAAAAACCAGTTGAATATCAAATGTAACGAGTTTTGGGTTGAATGACCAACGTCACTAATACCTGAGAGATAATTACCATAACCAATAAATAAGAAAACAAACGATTTTTGTACAAAATGCGCGATTGACGTAGAATTTATTTTAGTTTTATCTTGCGTATTAACTTTGGTAGTTCATTGGCACGGAGAGCGACAGCTTGGCAAGTTCACAGTTCCTCAGTCACGTTTTGTGATGAAACCTTGGAACACGATTGGCAAAAGCAAAAATCTCTCACAGGTATTACGTTTATTACGAATAATTTTATTAAAATACAATTGTGGTCACATCACCAAACCATCTTTTGCTAGAATACCCAGCATTCTATTTAGCATTTCGGGAACAAACTTATGTACTTCTTTGCTCGATGTGCCAATTATCTACTATACTTATGTTCCTTCTATTTCTAAGAAACATAAAATGTTACTATATTTTGGAACATTTCAACACAGTTATTTCAGGAGAACATCCCGGTAGAATTCCATAAACTTCCTTATATTTAGCAACACTAGTTTATCTACTTTAAATGACGTAGATTTGGATTGCAGCCAGTTACATTTCATAGAAGCGCCGTACGAGTCCTTGTTAAGTAGGAATTTGGGGAAAATACGAATTTAAAATGTTAACATACAATTTTACTTCATACTATTAAATAGAATAAAAATGGAATCCAAATATTAATAATATTATAATATTATTTTGATGTAAAGGGGAAACCAACAATTTGTCTTTGTCTTTACTTAAACTAACTAAACATTAAAGAAATAATACATTTGGTAGTTATTATGACGTGGTGTAAAAAGGTCACCGATGTAACCTCAGCACATGTTGGCAATCGACAAAGGGAAATCCCGACATTGAAATAAAGCCAACTCTGTTTCAAAACTACTGACGAGAAATTCTCCCTGATTATTACTTTTCTAACTAGAATAACAAACGTTAACTATAATTAACGTTCATAATAATAAAGAGTGAGTGAACATGGTGACCATTTACCCTGGTGTAGCCACTAATGATAACAGAGTGGTACAAACAACTTACAGGTTAGAATTGCAGTTGCCAGGCAGCGATATGGCGGGGCTAGTCCAGGGCAGGTGATCGGAGCCGTTGGTCTGCTGGAAGCCGATGTTGCGGGTGACGGCGCCGCTGCTCAGAGAGCCCGTCGAACCCCTGGGGCTGGCGGCCCCCGGGGAAGGCTCTCGCATCTGGCTGAACAGGTCTGTTACCTGTAGAGTAGAACTCATGTTTCTGAGATTTACTATACATATTTCGTATTGAATTACTACAAAATGGAAGTATTGAAACAACAGACATGCTATAATACATGGTAGAAAAAGAGACTTGAAAATTAGGTAAATTGTAAAATTAGTTGTTTAATTGCCTGGCCCTTGATTACCGACTAGCTAATAACATAGTAATTAACGAACAGGTTTTTTTCTAACATAAGTCAAAACATGGCAGAAGTCATCAGTCATCTGTTGTCTTAAACATATAATAACATACGTCATACAATAACAATTACGTAACTCTACAATTAAAAAATGTACATTTTCGTACAGAAACTATAATGACATATATTGTTTCTAAGTTTTAGGGAAGTTCAAGAAAAGAGGAACAATATTAAACAGCTTTCATGTAAGATGGAAGGAAGCCTAATAACTTATACGAGCCGTAGAAACCCATAACTTACATAATAATGACTAATCTGAAAGTTAGACTAATCAATTAAAAAAAAAACATGACCCTAAACACTAACTATGAACTAGGGTAGTGACGTACAAAGCACGGCCTTGAGCCACATACCCACATACAACTAGAGCAAGGCATAGAGGGGCATGGAACTGGTCTAAAGGTATATATAGAATGCCAGAATTATAATTTTCTCCAAGCACTATCGTTCACTTTAAATGCTATGCTAAAATCTCAACCTAAAACTGTAAAATACAAAAATATGTAAGAAATCAATAACATATGGTATCTGGCATTCATTGCGGCATCTGTACTAGAATTGTTTAACAAACAATTTGACGATACAATATCTTTAAAATGTTTATTAAATTCAGAACGAACGTTATGTAACTCTATCCAATGGTGGGAGGTGATAAAGAGCAATTAGTTAGATCAATAAATGACTTAGCAAAATGCAAAGATACTATAGTTTGTCCTCTGACTACAAATAGCACATATCCGAGGGCAAGGTGATCGTCATTAATTGCATTACAACAATCCCACGACACACGCCACATCGCGACGGCTCGCGTTAACGCGGATAGTCTTGCTCTTCCCTTAGAAAATCTATATACGTAGTGAGCTTTGGTGAACAATTAAACGACCCTAACAGTTGGAATAAACGTTTAAACGCCTTTTTTTAAAATAGGAGGCATATAAAGTAAATTTGAAACATACTGTAGTACGTATATTTAATTAATAAACGACTTGCATATAGCAGAAGTAAGTAGTAGGTGTTCTAAATCCACCTGCGCAAACAACAATAGTGTACAGTAAATATTGTAATAGCTATGCGTGCAGTGCTCTATTGCCTGGCCCTAATTGAATAGCACAATGTGACAGCCTTGCAGACCAATCAATGGCAAAGAGAAGAGACGCTCTTTGATTTGTATCGATAAAAGCGCGCTATGAAACATCCTTGTTCAATATCGATAATATTTTAAGAACTTCATAGTTTTTCTTGATACAGCGATTGTAAAGAGAGGATATTTGATAATGTGTATCAACTTATGTTCACCTATTACGATGAATTTTTATCCTCCTCGCACAATGTGAGAACACAATATGAATACAATATTTCTATGGAAAATTTTCAATGTTACATGAATATTTACGATATTAATGAATGAGTTTGAGTTGCAGGACCTTGCCATTTGTCGCACTCGTCGTTGTTTTTTTCATATTTGTTGAAGTTTCGCTAATGATAAACATTACCTTGACTTAAACCATTACTGAGGTTTATAAATCTATTCGATTTGATCCGATATAATGTTGATATATGTAGCCACAGATAAAAAGTATAAAGGTCTGTAAAAAGTTAGTTCATTCAACATGCAAAAAAAATCAGGTACTTATTTTTAGTTTAAAACTAAAAAAAACTTTATTAAACTTGAACTCTAAACCTGAAGGTTATTAATCTAAGACATTTTGAAATTACGTCATTAGGTGTTTGTAAAAAATCCCACAAGTAACAATATAATTATAAAACATGCAATTAAACAACGACATAATACCCCAATGGTTAAAAGGTATGGCTTGCGATACTTGAGGCCGTAGGTTCCTTTAACACTATTTCAAATTAAGATTAGTAAGACAAAAATGTTAGTTATCACACAATGTGCAAGGACAAATCAATTTCAATGCCACGACAACAATTACCAAATGTTTGACGTTTATAGCTGATGTATCGGAATGTGATCCGAACAGTGGCTTAGTCGGTATCATGTCTCACGATCTGTTGAAAATATAAAACAATCTTCATATTTTGTATGAGCGAAAATGTAAATAAACTAACTTTTGCCTGCGACTTTGACCTCGCGGAAAAAATTACATATAAATATAGACTACAATGTTACTTAATGCTAACGTAGCTTCCTAATGAAAACAGAATTTTAGTAATCAGTCAAGTTTGAGTTTATTCGTTATATAACAAAAATAGAAATATTGCTCTTTTTATTTGTGTAGATTATTCTGTTATGTGATTATTATTGACGTCCTGGTGTAAATATATAAACATATTATTGTGATTGAAGGCAGAAACAACAAAGATTAGCATAAATATTAACATATTTCGATACGTGTTAAGGAAGTCACATGTTGAGTTGAATGTGTGTTTACATCTACAGCTTCCACACATCATGATCACTGGAAGTATTACTCATTTACTTTATGAATCTGAATTAACTATTGGGCGAATTATACATTCCCTTTGAACATTACCATGATAATGTATTCATTTCGCATGTTTAACCACCCTTTTACCTTGCCATAGCAGGAAGGAGGGTGGTGGCTTCGGTAGACTGTTGTTTGCAGACCTGTCGCGTTATTAAGTTTAATGTATTATAAAAGAAAGCTATCTTTCAAGAGTTACAATTAAAATCTGTTTTTCAATGGCACGTATACATAAACACTTACATTTCCAATCGTCCCTCAACAAGATATTGTATGTGAAAGCTTTACTTGAACTATAAAGGCTAAGGTAAAAGGTCTACATCCGCAGGCCTTTTACCTTACACTCAGGTATAGCATTGTTCAGTTCACTATACATGGTATGTACTTCCGTGTGCATCTCCCGACATATATCGTTGACTTTTAAAGTAAATGCTAGAAGGGGAATAATTTTAATTACAGGACATTAAATAAAATATTATCGGATAAAAGTTTCTTGGAACTTCTTAAGCATATGAGTTTTGATTATAAATACAACTAGCCCATATAGTAAAATGTAATAAAACGTCTTAAGACGTTAAGTATATTCCACGTGAGGCACAATGGTTTCAGTCGTTTTCACGGTATTTATATCTATTATTGTTATTATCTTTAATGATGACCAGCTATTGACCAAGACATGTATCGATAGATTTACATAGATGTAGCATTACTCCTGTTTATGTGATAGATCTGTCTGATAGTCAATTGTTTGAGTTGTTGAAGAAGAAGAATAACAAAACAGAAGGTACTTGATGCTGCCTTCTCTTTCCCGTCAAGAATTTGCAATGGTTAAAATGATCGTGTTTTTAGCATGTTCACATTGGTAGTCAATCGTAATTGTGACTTTAAATAACCTGACAGATCTCTTGTTGCAGTTAGTTGATGATGTTCGCTGTTAGACAGATATCATAATAAAATCTGTGACATAATTGCATGTATGCAATTTATTACAGACATTTGTTCCATTGTTCGATACGATACGTGTTGTTTAGTCTGCAACAATGTGTGCCAGCCATGTGTTTTAATATGGAGATAACTGGCTGTAACTGTATATTTACAATTCTTTTGCATAAATACCTTTTTTATCTGAGTTAGAATTGATACTTAATTCAACTGTGTTGCATATTCTCAGTTAAGCTTGTTTCCACTTGTTCCCAGTGAATGTAATAAACACTGGCTCGAAGGACCACCAATTAAATGTTATTTTATTTAACAATGACAAAGCTTTAAATTTTTATTAAATTATGCGCTAATAAATAAACGTAACATACGTACTGAAGTACCAAGTTAAACCTTATTTCTTCAACATCTTTGCGTAACATTTCAGACGAGCCATCAGATAATGCACCGCTGTAAACACTATCGCTAAGCAAATGAACGTATTTAGGACGATAGTTGCGAACTGTTCATCATAGCTGATTAGCCATCTTGAATAAAACTAGGACTCGCTATGTGCCCTAATGAAAATAGTAACTCCGTTATCACTTACGTGGTTTAAAATCTTCCAATATAATGTAAAACAAATAAAACCTTAAATAAAGATCCAAATTGTCGGACATAACAAAGTATAAAATAGAAAAATCTTTAATTTTTTTCATGTCTCAAAACTAATTTTTACTTTTGACACGTTAATTTTCTTTAATATTTTTAAAATACAGATATTTAATAATAAGACATTTAAGAGTCGAATCAAGAAGTGCATCAAAAACAATGATAAACAGAGCATCTTGTTGTTTGTATACGTTAAAGTGTTTTTGAACACATGTACAAAAACACTTTCATCTCTCTTCTTCCAAAGGATATAAGAGGGATAACGATATGTTTACATGTGTAAATCCACATTTTGAAAAGCGTTTCTGGGAACTGTTTGGCCAATGTCCAACATCCGCGCCAATGTTTGTGCATCAGGTCTGTAGGCGAGGCGATTGATTCAGGTTTACGTAACGTTCACACGGCAGCCGCATGCCCGCCGCCCGCTGCCCGCCCTCATCCCGTGTTATGAGATGTCTACTCATCTTACAACCATTGTGTGACAACAACACGATATGTTATTGATAATAAAAGCTACGTGTTGTTCCAAACTGCCAGTCACCTGTATGGAAACATTTGTAAATTATTTTTTATTGTCAATCGCCATATCAAGATATTTACCATTCATAAAAAAACGCCTAACAGCCAATTGACATTACGACTTGTAGCGCTGGGGCATGAAGTACTCTACACAAACAATAAACACAGAGACAATCCTAGATGAAGCATAAATAAGGAAAACACATACGAAAACACGAGCCGCTTTCCGTAAAGTAGGTTCGACTTATATCCGTAAATACAGTTTAAGTAAATATCTAAATAATATTGACTTATTATGTAAATATATGTAAAATAACAACTTTATAATTAAAAGTACACACGTCGCTACATAAAACGATACTTTATCTGCAATTATCTCCGATATTAAAGATGTTAATGACATAAAAGATAAACACAATTTGTTTGAACATCAAAAAATTGATATTTAATCGATTTCAGTAAATGTACATACAAGTAAGCAAGCTGAGCCAATATATTAACTCATGTACTGTCATGAGGCTTCATACTAGGCTTTCCTCGAAATGCATATGTAAATGAAAGATATCTAACATGGAGGTTTCAAATGACCTAACAATGCAAACTGCCTTAAAGGCCCGCTCATTTAACTGATAGATTTCTTATATTAAATCTACACTAAGATTATACATATTTGAGCACGGCTGTTAGTCGATAATTTCTGTTCTAATTACCATAAGACTTACAAAGAGTTATATAACTCTTGATTTCGATTCAAAAACCTTGAATATGTATTAACATTGATGGACCTGTTCCTTTGTGAAATTTAAATATTTGTTGCTACGAGGAAAGTGAAAAACGTCATGTTAAGGGAGTCAAGGCTAATATCATCCATGGAATAGGCAAATATGACCGACTGGAATACTGGATATTACCTCGATTTACTAGACACTTATATATTCTTCTAATATGCAGCAGACCTTCTTACATATTATATTTATTTATTCTATAACATTATTTCTCACATTAAATTAAACATTAACAAATTTTGTTTACTTTAACAGATTCTGATGATGGTAAAAATCAATCTGATTCAGACGTGCCTCAGTTTTGTGCTTTAATATTGTGTTAGTTCGTTGTTTAATTTATCGGACGATGTTTTGTCAAATAGTTGTAGTGAAGGAGTCTCTAATGTCTAAGGGTCATTGTAATGAATTGCTGTAACTATAATATGTCTTAAAAAATTAAAAAGATAGAAATGTTTTAATAATTCATTAAATTCATTATTGATAATCAATAGTGCCTATAATATAACTTAATAATAAATGTAATATGTTTAAATCACCACCATAGCGATTTAAGATACATACATCTTTCTTCTTATATTTTACCAATGGATAGATGTTTGCTTGAAGATATCTTAGGAACGACTCAACGGATTTTGATGAATTTTGGCACAGATGTAGAACATAGTCTAGAAGAAAACATAGGCTACTTATTTACGTTTCTTTTTTAATTTAGCTATAATATTATTTTCATAAATTATAAATAAATCAAAATATTATCACCAACCTTGGTAGAAATCCGTTTGAATTTATAAATACGCGCACTCACGTCTTAATAAAAAATATATGTGCAAAACAATATAGAATGTGTATCACAATGGAGAAATTGATTATTCATGATATAATTTCTGATTTATACCAATTATACCTCAGATTGAAAGCTCGTCTCGGATGCAAATTTAATATTCGTAAACAATGCACGCACTACTTCGAAGTCATTATGCCAAATGTTTATCCACTTTTACTAACATTACCAACACATTCCTACGTACTTATACATCCAAATAGTTTTTATCACAAATAAAAGTCCATAATGTTCAATATATGAAAATATAATAAGTCCATTTCACACGCGAACAATATTAGTAGAGCACCGAACCAAAATTCTAGGTTAGAAAATTGCGCCGCACGATACACAACAGCACTCTGTGTCAGCGGCGTCCATACTGAATTTAACATCGCGTTCCACAGGCAGATCGGAAATATTTTAAGGCGCCCAGTTTTTTTTTTCTTTTTTAAATTTAATTTTTTCTCTTAAGAAGCAAGTAGACCACCGGGTTTGTTTATACAGGAGTTTTCAGAAGTCTTAATTAACCACAGAAAATTGACGAAAAACTGTTGATTGTCGTTTTTCTTTCTGTCTTGTAGTGACTACTTATTTTGTCGTAAGATTAATGACAAAACAAAAGTAAACACAGAAACTAAACTACTCCAGTTACTAATAGACACACAATTTCAAGTCGATCAAATATGCAATGCGGTTGCCAACACGAAAATTCCTCAACAATATTGAAATCATAAAATCTATAATAAATAGGTATTTAATGAAGGCGCGAAAATAACACAGCACCACAGAAAAGAACGCGGAACTTTTTCTTTTTTTTCAACAGTGTCACTGGCAATCGCGAGAACGAATAACTGAAACTGGCCGATATTCGAACATGTTCTAATTTTAAAATCGCGCCAAGGTTCCGGAGGGCCGGCGCTACACGGAGGCACAGTTAAACAATGTGACATTGCATTGTCTTTGTTGATGAATATTCAAATTGATGCCATAACAACCAGCCAGTGTCAGGTTGGAATCCCGAAACAAAAAAAGTTCGTAATACTGCAAAGTGGTCAGCTTAAATTGTACGTAATTTAGAAGATATTAGTGCATATAGGACTCTAAGATAGAGAAATCTTACACATCAAAGGAAAATAGGAAAATACTTTATTACTAAACATTAATAAACTAGCGGCTGCCCGCGACTTTGTCAGCGCAGCATAAAAAAATAGCATCCATCGACAATAGATGACAATATCAGCCAGTGGCATATTCAAATATTATATAATTTGTCATTTTCATTGAATTCCGCTATATAGTCGGTATTTTCCATAATAGGTATATCGGTAGAGTCGTCACTATTTATTTGGCACTGATGAATAAGTATATTATCTCGGCCACACCTCTGTTCTAGACATATTTATTTTTGAATGACGTCACGCTGATATTAACTTTTTAATTAATGTGTTATTAATTAACTTTTAGCTATTAAGAATCGGCGACACAGTTTGTATAGTATATATTATCTATTTTATATAAGCAGACGTCAAACAAGCAAATGGTTTGTTAAGAAAATTGCGTTTCGAAGAATAATTTCGAAACCTTTGTCCTTTCAAGTGATAAAGTCAAGTTTATAAGTTATTTAACTTGACATCTAAATACCGTAGTTATTATTAAAATCAACAACAAATTAAAAAGGCATATAATATTAAGATTATCTTGGAACTATCGAGTCAAACTCGCTTAACCGGTAATCGTTTGCGTAAGTAAAATGTTAATAAAAAAAATTACCTGAATATGTACTTCATTCAAAATACATAATTATAATGAATATGATTTATTATTTAACACACATTTATAAAAACCTTTGAATATTACTTGAATATTCTCTATTTATTTTTCGGGAGATAACTTTACAAAACATAGCGAAACCACTATGTTTTGTAGTATGCCTACCTTCAGTCGAGTTAGTTTGTGCTGGCGTCTGTTAAATATCGTAATTTGTATTTTTACGTCATTGTATAACAGCCACTTACTTCAAGAACAGTGTTGGCCCTGAAGAGATAGCACTGCAGCAGACCTTCCTTCTCATTTATTAGGATGTAGAACAACTCCTCAGGTCGACCCGGCACTTGACTGGCCCTGGACACAACAATCCTCATATACTTAAGCCGTTAAAACAAAGAGCATAACGCAGTAGGTAACTTTTGATTCTCTGTCGGATTTTTAGTAGTAAGTGACATTTTTAAATCAAACAATTACTGTACTCCGTGTTTAAGTAATTAAAATTACTTTGTGATTATTTACATCGATATTGAGTGAATGGTTAAAGTGGTGATCTTGGTACCTCAATATGTCAACGAGGCGGTGTATGATGACAGGTTCGAAGTTCCCGTTGTACGCTTTGAGACAGCTCTCCTCCACCGCTAGGCTTAGCTGTAAAGTAAATGGGTACGTAAGCGATCACAAATCAACATTGAAAAACATAAAATTGCCAAATATGACTGCTTTCTTTACTTCTACGTACAAATAATAATATTTCCTAGTGTGCCATAGCAGAAATCGTTGTTGACAATACCTTATCCCTGACGCCTGTGGCCCGAATCTCACGGAGCAACCAGGGCAACATGGAGTTGGAGAAGCGACGGTCCATGGCCGTGTAGCCGAGATACGTCACCGACGTCAGCTTCGTCTTCATTATTATCACCTGCAAGAGAAAGAACCAATATTTTACCTGATAAATGATGACATGATGACAGAACACGTAGCAGTTAGGAACAGATAATAGCTATAATAAAAAATTGTAGAAAACTATAAAAAATGGTCAAGTTTCATGTGACATTGAATACAGGTTAAGGCGACAAATCGACGGACAGACATACAAATATTACTTCACGAAAGACTAAATTTTACTATCTTACTAATATTATAAATGCAAATGTTAAGATGGATGGATGGACGTTTAGATTTAGTTTGTTACTGGTTATCTCGAGAACGGCTGCACGGATCTCGCTAAAATTTGGTATAGATATACAACGTAGTCTGGAAGAACACATAGGTTACTTATTAAGTTTTTTTAATCCGCGCGGACGGAGTCGCTGGCGACAGCTAGCTAGCTAGTAAAGAAATAAATATTTAAATGAACGCTATGTGGCGTATATGGAAAAACATCTTATATAAATAAATAACATAATTATAGTAGTAATTAATTCACGAGCAACTTGGATGGGTCATAATATTGAGCAGTAAAATGGTGGGCCGCACGAAGTCGCATCACGAACAATTGCTAGGTACTTCTCGCAAAGATAGTATATATGTCATAAAATTATGTAAGTATTAAACAGTACGTAGACAATTGAACACTACGGGTATTAGATTCAATTCATTAATTCCAAGTTCTCTTCTCTATATATCTTTTATGGAAGAGTGTAAGTACTGTTAGTTGCATTTAAGTGGATGGTAACAATATTTTTAATTATCTCACCATCCTCAACATTCGTACTGTGAGTTTCCATTTCCAATTATATATTGCACATCGCACATATTGTTCTCGATAAGAATATGTTCTGTTGCATTTGTTTTCGCAATGAAAACCCATTTTCCTTTAACTTCTCCATTTTCTTATCATCTATCTTTTGATGACGCATATGTAAATTATGTCAGAAAAAAATCTCTAGTCATTATATACTCATAGCCCTGAACTGCATACACATAAATTAATGGAATATTAAAATATTATAAATAACAGCATCACAGCAACGTTTCATTCTCTTATCCCGTTTTTTATCACTAGATCAAATTATATGTCTCAAATTAATTTAAATACGTCATACAAATGTTAATTTATTTCTATAGCGAATATAACCATTATAAACAGGTTAACTGGCAAAAAGTAGTATTTTTTTAAAGACGCAGTGTTAATAAATAGTCTGATAAAGATTAGTTACTTAGATATGTATAGCGTAATTTATATTTCCTTGTATACAAATATGAACATCGACCAAGTCGTCAGACGCACAACTCTTTTTCTTCGGGCTTATAAATGATGCACACAGATCTTCAGGGCTTATATCGGAAAGTATGTAATCTCGTCTATTAACTTATAACTTTGTGTATTTTCTCGTCTGCTATGATTGCGAATTGAAAGCAATTTAATATGTTTTTGTTTAAAATTCAATGGAAAAGGCTAATCGGTGATTCTTACTTTTTATTTAGATCAGGTAACCCCGAGCAACGGGGCCCTACATCGATGACTCACTTTTATGAAAGTTTTTGTGTAAAACATTTCATGAGCAACTCAAATCAAGGCGGCTGTAAGGGTCGCCATGTCTAGACTGCTTTAATTGCTTGGAATTTATATTTGTCAATTCTATACCTAAAATGCTTTGGAGAGCTTTTATTGTATTGACGGCCGCAAATGTATTTTGGATAAGGAAAGTATAGGAAGTGATAGTGAATTTGACAAAGGATGGGATACACAGGAAGGGGCAATATCATCTTTCTGTGCGTCTCCTCCTCCGTCGATTAAAGTTAGGCAATGCGTCTTCAATTGCGGTTGTCGATGGCAAATAGTTGCTTCGCTATTTCGGCGAATTTAGCTCGCTCGTTTGACATTTATGAGGTAAAAAATACTTTAATTAAATATAACGCTAGATATGTTATGGAAACATGCGCAAATATTAACACGATAGGTATGTTGACTGAAGGTACATATTAGTGTAATATCCGCTTATTGAATTATAGTGATAACAATAACTTATTGTAACGACACAATAACTTAATGTAGTATATGTACACTTTCATTATAGGTAATATTAGTTTATTTAAAAGGAACCCGATAATGCACATCTAACTGTCCGGACCAGAATACCAATCAAATGACAAGAGTGGTTCGTAGTATTTTACTCTAAGCAAAAACATTCATACAAAAGGTATATTGTCGCCCCTAATATTTCCCTTGAAGAATCTGAGATAACTATATGTTTTTGTGCAGTGTTTGATTGTAAATGCTCGCGGGTTAAGATGTGATCCCCGACATATCCCTTCCGTCGATAGGATATATAAGACTCATAAAAACTGCAAAACGTTGTTCCATGTTGTATCACGTTATTATGAGCACTACGTGGGTCGTATTTTTCTAATTAGTAGATATATGTGCTATTTAACTTCTACTACAAAAAACAGACGTCAGGTGGAAGTATTTCTGCATATTGTTGGAATATTGTGTGCGATGAACACTAGATTTTAGCTCTCTTCTCTTCGCACTCTTTGCTTGTAAGGAAAGGATAAAAAGGAGAAGTGGACTTGGAACTAGTAGAGACATATAGGTAGGGTCTAATCTTTCTCTGTACGTCATTCTTCTTTTTGGGCCATTAAAGACAAGAAACACATCAGTGTCCGTTTAACTTGTTGCAAATGACTAGAGCAACGGTCACTTCGCGATTTTAGCGAAATCATATGGCAGCTGGCTTGTTTACCTTATATGAAGTAAGTTACTTCCGGTCGTGTAAGACGTTGTCTAAATTTTATTAAAGTTATTGCCACATTTCGCTCGCTAGTAAAATTAGCATTCAGAAATGGAATCTTATTTGATAGAAAATGTAGCAATATTTTACAACTAATAACAATTATTTATATGCTTGAAAAATCACAGAGAAAATTGTTAAACACAAACATTAATTTGAATGCTTATAATGATAAAAGAGATTAGTCCGTAATACCACTAATAATAATTAATGTCAGTCTTACCTTTGATTTATGCACTTTAAATAAATTTAAGCCACAAATCACAATACTCAGCAGTTCCTAAGCAAAAAATCAATAATATACCAGCTGAGTTGCATTTCCACTTCACGCTGTGTGTTAAAACTGAGCCAGACACT